TAAGTGAGCACTTCCAGTGCTGCATCTGTTTGTTGAAACTTCTCCATCAATTCCTGGAGCCTTGTTTTTTGCCAGTTCCTTCAGTGCAGCTTGGACTTCTTCTCAGTACCATCGATTCCCGATTTTATGTTACCTCCTGAAATGGTTGAACGATCACCAACTCTTTTTGGTATAGTAACTCTGTGTATTCCTTCCATCTACTTTTGATGCTTCCTGTATTGTTTGATATTTTCCCCATAGAATTCTTCAATATTGCAACTCGAGTCTTGAATTTTTCCTTCAGTTCTTTCAGCTTGAGAAATGCTGACTGTGTTCTTCCTTTTTCGTTTTGTATCTCCAGGTTTTTGCACATGTCATTATAATACTTTAGTTTGTCTTCTCAAGCTGCCCTTTGAAATCTTCTGTTTAGCTCTTTTACTTCATCATGTCTTCCTTTTGCTTTAGCTATTTGACATTCAACAGAAAGTTTCAGAGTCTCTTCTGACATCCATTTTGGTCTTTTCTTTCTTTCCTGTCTTTTTAATGACCTCTTGCTTTCTTCATGTATGATGTCTTTGATGTCATTCCACAACTCATCTGGTCTTCAGTCATTAGTGTTCAACTCGTCAAATCTGTTCTTGAGATAGTCTCTACATTCAGGTGGGAAATACTCAAGGTTCTCTTTGGCTCTAGTGGACTTGTTCTAATTTTCTTCAGTTTTAACTTCAATTTCCATATGAGCAATTGGTGGTCTTTTCGGAAGTTGGCCCCTGGCCTTGTTCTAACTGATGACATTGAGCTTTTCCATCATCTCTTTCCACAAATGTGACCAATTTGATTCCTGTGTATTCCATTTGGCAAGGTCCATGTGTATAGTCGCCGTTTATGTTGCTGAAAGAAGGATGGATGAGAGATAATATATATGACGTGCTAGCAAGGGCCTATTATATAGTAGGCTCTTAGCAAATGAATAGTAAATGAAAGGCAATTGTTATGAGGTCAAATGATTAGTTAGTTCTGAGAGACACTAGGATCTACTAATATACTAGAATAAAAGAAAGGAGGTAGCTCCTCTCTTTGTAATGGGAAATGTAAGGATGAGTAATGCGTGCCACCTACCCAGATACTGCTACAGTAGATCCCTCATCTTGCCTGTCCCCTGCAGCAGGTTTCTGTTTTGTCCTGGCTGCTCCTCCCCTCCCCCCATCCCAATTCAGCTGCTCATTGTTGATGTCATATTGCCACTGTCCTGGGGGGAAGGAGTGACAGGCACGTCCTTCCTTAAATAAATGGTCTCTTTAAAATATTCTCTGTAATAGAAGCTTCATAATTCTTGTGCATGCTACCACCCATGATTTCAAGAAGTGGGGGACCTGAGACAGCCTGAGGTGGAAAGAGAAATGCTATGGGGTGTATGTATGTGTGAGTGTTGGGCAGGGGGTTTCAGGAGACCGGGGTTATAGACACAGCTGTGCCTCTGCTAGCTGACTCTTGGTAAGTCTCTTTTCTTCTTGGTTTCAGTCTCCCCATCACTGCATTCGGAGATTTGATTTCATGATTGCTAAAGGTCTTCTAAATATTTATCTAGTAATCACCACGTAAGTCAGGAAAGGTGTGCGTCAGGGTTGTATCTTCCACCATACCTGTTCAATCTGTATGTTGAGCAAATAATTTGAGAAGCCGGACTATATGAAGAACAGGGCATCAAGATTGGAGGAAGACTCATTAACAACCTGTGTTATGCAGATGACACAACCTTGCTGGCTGAAAGTGAAGGGGACTTAAAACACTTATTGATGAAGACCAAAGACCACAGCCTTCAGTATGGATTGCATCTCAACATAAAAAAAACAAAAATCTTCACAACTGGACCAATAAGCAACATCATGATAAACAGAGAAAAGACTGACGTTGTCCAGGATTCCATTTTACTTGGATCCATAATCAACACCCATGGAAGCAGCAGTCAAGAAATCAAAAGACGTATTGCATTGGGCAAATCAGCTGCAAAAGATCTCTTTAAAGTGTTGAAAAGCAAAGATGTCACCTTGAAGACTAAGATGTGCCTGATCCAAGCCATGGTGTTTTCAATTGCCTCATAGGCATCCAAAAGCTGGACAACGGATAAGGAAGAACGAAGAAGAATTGACGTCTTTGAATTGTGGTGTTGGCGAAGAACACTGAATCGACCAACAACAAAATCCAACTCGTTGCCATTGAGTTGATTTTGACCCACAGCAATCCTAGAGGACAGAGCAGAACTGCCCTATAGGGTTTCCATGGAGCTGCTGGTGGATTTGAACTGCTGACCTTTTTGTTAGCAACCTTATCACTTAACCGCCGTGCCACCAGGGCTCAATTCTGACTCATAGCGACCCTATAGGACAGCGTAGAACTGCCCCATAGGGTTTCCAAGGAGCAGCTGGTGGATTCAAACTGCTGACCTTTTGTTTAGCAGCAAGCTGTTAACCACTTCGCCACCAGGGCTCCACTGAATCTACCGTGGACTGCCAAAAGAACGAACAAATCCGTCTTGAAAGAAGTACAACCAGAATGCTCCTTAGAAGCAAAGATGGCGAGACTATGTCTTATATACTTCGGACTTGTTATCAGGAGGGATCAGTCCCTGGAGAAGGACCTCATGCTTGGTACAGTACAGGGTCAGCAAAAAAGAGGAAGACCCTCAATGAGATAGACTGACACAGTGGCTGCAACAATGGACTCAAGCATAACAATGATTGTGAGAATGGTACAGGACCAGCAAGTGTTTTGTTCTGTGTGCATGGGGTCGCTGTGAGTCGGAACTGACTTGACAGCACCTAACAACACTAGGTAAAGGCATGGGGTATGTTCCTGCAGCTCTTTGTACCTGTCTTAATGTCATGATACACAACACTGCATTCCAGTTAGTTGGAGTCATGATATGGTCTCCTCACTGAACTAACAGCTGGTGGCTCCACATCTGGTTCTTGGTTTCCTAGAGTCTACATGGAGTTGGAGCTTCTTTATTTCTTTAACACCTTTATTTTAGTGCCTGCTGTGTGCCAGGCACTGTGTTAGCTGGTGAAGATACAAAGATAAAATGTCAAAGCTTTTGCCTTCAGGGAGTTGACAGTCCAGCAGGGAGACAACTGTAAGACAAATATAGTTGCCTTGATAGAGGTTTGTCCCAAGTGTAGGGGAGAGAGGGGGAGGAATACCCATTCTGTCTGGCTGAGTTGGAAGGTTTCTGTGAAGACCCAGGGCTTGAACTGTGTTCGGTGAGAAGGGGTATGTTAAGACAGGAAGAAGGACTTTTCAGGCACTGGGAATGCCCTTCGTAAAGGCACAAATGTGGGAGAGCATAGTGTGTTCTGGCAATTGCTCAGGATTCTGCACAGTAGCGGACAGGAATGCAGCTATCAGCTCCTGAAGTGGCCTTTATGCCATCCAAAGGACTCTGGGTTTTATCACATAACCTTAACAGATGACTGATGTATATTGAGTATGGGAACATGGTAAATCTTTGTGGAATGCCTGCATAATAGTGGGAGCATGGAGCTCAAACAGAGGTACAGTAATAAGGGGCATTTCCTAACCTTGTGGCCTTGGGCAAGTTACTTAACTTCTTTGAGTGTTCCCTTTTTTTGTAAAATGAGAATTAAAAATCAACCTCAAAGGTTTGCTGAAATTAAGAGATTATATATAAAACAAGAATAAACTTGACATTTAGTAAAAGCTCAGTTTTTTTTTTTGAAAGGTAACATTTGTTTCATACAATACTCATTACCTAAACAAACAATCCAGTAATCTGTGAACCACTTCTTTGCTTGTTTGCTCCTCTGCAAAATGGGTCCTTCTCTTCCTAGCACTCACCATGTTAAACTTTCTAATTATTTTTCCAGCCAAACTCCTATAACTAAATTATTTGTATTCTCTTTGCCCAGGTAGACTCTTAGGTTTATCAGAGCAGAGACCTTTTAAAATTTACTACTGTACCAGCAGTTTCTAGCACCTCCTGGCTCTTAACAGAGGTTCAGTAAATGTAGAGTAAAGCAATCAACATCAAGCTTATCTTCTAGGGGCCAACAAACTGGCAAAGTGCTTCCTTATTTGTAAAGTTGTAAAGTTGTACAGTTGGGTTTATTAAGACTAAATAAGAAAAGTGTGAGAAGGTGAACTGAAGATAGTGGCTCTTTTAACTCCCATCTTGTGCAGCTCTTTACGGTTCACAAAAGGTTAAATCTCTTGCCTTGCTCTCAAAAGAGCCGGAAGTGCCCTGGGGTGAACAAAGATCAATTTCAATTCATGGGATGGAAAACGCTTGACTAAGGTCACTCAACTAGCGCTGTTGGAGCGGCTTCCCTTGGCTGGATTCCGGGGTTCGTCGGCCAAGCTGTCTTGCGCTCGGGCCTTCACCCACTACCTGAGCCTCTCCTCCGCTCCTGCGCCACATGGCAGTGGGCGGGTGTCCCCCGGGATTAGGTAGGAGGAGGCGGAGCCCGTTCTGAGGCCCGCCCCAGAGCATCCATGGGAACTGTAGTTTTTCTGGGCGCATAGAAGGACGCGAGCTCCTCTCCGCTTTTGCCCAGTAAGTAGCACCTCCTTCGTGCAAGACATTAAAATAAAGCACCCTCTATCAAGGTGCCAGCCTAAGTATTTCCGAAAGAAGCCGTGAAGGGGAAGGAGCAATGCAAGAAAGGCAAACTAAAAGATTATCGACGGGGAAAAGAAAGGGTTAACATTTTCCACGCATGCGCACGGAGGGCCTGAGGGTGGGCGGGGACGGAAAGACGACTCCCGAGAGCAGTGTTTTCCCCGGAAGTGTCTTCCCTCCTTCCGGCTCCGCACGATCGCGGCTTCCCTACCTCACTTGTCCTCGCCCCTCCCCGTCCCTCTAAGCGTTTTGGTTCCTGGTTGGTGCTTCCTGGTCGCAGCCGCGGCAGTGAGTATGTGTGTGACCGACCCAGAGCCGCACGCGGCCGGGGTACCCCTGCTCTTCCTCTTCCTCGCCCGCTGGGCTATGGAACTAGCGCGTGTCTCTTCGCCGACCTTCGCGTCTCTTCTCTGTCCCCACTTGTGGCGGCGTGGGGCGCGACTCGCGGCCCCTCAGCTGAGTTCCTTTCCTCGCGGCTGGGCTGACCGGCGGGGATGTCCGCTTATTCCTGCCAGGCCAAGGCCTGAGGCCGTGGTTCAAGAAGGGCTGAGCGTCTGCTGCCTCGGTGGGGGTGGTGTTTCTGCCCATTTTACCTCCTGCTCCGGCTCCCCCGTCCCTCAAGACTTCCCTGGCTTTTGGGGAAGCCTCCCAGTCTGTTAAAACGTGGAGGTCTGGCCGCGCCAAAAGTGAGCCTGGCCTGTGAGGACCGAACAGTGTTGGGTCACCGCCAGCTTCTGCTGTCAGAAGCAGCAGTTGCAGCAGTGGGACCAAAAAAATTTCAAGACGTGTGCCCCTTTTCCCATGTAAAACAAGGAGACTTGGATCGTGTTCACTCAGATTCCCTTTATCTCTCACGTCCAGTGAGCCGACAGTTGCATTCAACTTTAAGGAAGAGCTCCCGGTGCCGTGGAAAATTGGCTGGAGTCAGCAGGCCTGGAGTCTAGCCGTGGCTCGCTGGTGATACTAGAAATCTCTTTTCTAGGCTGAATGTATCTTTATTTCAGATTACAGCATTGAATTGGGAGATCTTTTAGGGCTTTTCTAGCTCAATAAGTACGTTTCTCTGAGCCCGTTTCCCCACAAATAAAACCAGAGGGTTCCATTTGATGACTCTTGGGGGTGTTTTGAATACTTAAGTCTATCACTTCCAAAGAATTTGAAGTGGTCTGTGTGTATATTTAAGACACCGATATGCTTTTGGGACAGTTTAGTATTGCTGTTTCCCAGAGAATCTAAGGGTAGGGAATGAACCGAGGGAGAAATGGAAGTGAGAGTTTGTAGAAGAAATGAGGATTGTAAAACAGCTTCGAGACTAAGTCCGTGTGTCAAAAGGAAAAGGGCTGAGGGAAAGGTGGTGAAGGAGGTGTTTCCAGATAGGATTAGTTCCAATAAACAGACTTTTATGTATCCCAAGAACAGCTGGGACATGTCTGAATGAATTTGACCATAATTTTTTCCCACCAAGATTTTGTGTTCTGTCTTTGTGGCCATTGTTTCACATGCTGAGATTCTCTACCCAATTTGGATTTGATTCTAAGTGGCAGTCACATTTCTTCTCATGGTCAGAAATTTTAACACTACAGTCAACTTATTTGTGTTTCAAATCTGTCACTATCTGGGCAGCTCACTAAGACTAAGTCAGAAATTTTAAGTTGAAAATAAACTATGTATCACTTTCCAGTGAAAATTGTGGATATAAAATCAAGCTGTGGATTTGGTTTAAATCTGCCTGAGATTAGATGCCTATGTCATCAAGAAGGAATATCTAAGCTAATAATTTTATGAAAGTGCATGGGAAGAAGATAAGCAGAATGTCTGGAATGACCAGTAGTCAGTGGCATTGGCTTTAAAGATTTTATAAATAAATTCTGGAAGCTTAAGTAAACCTTATCTAGTTTTAAAAAATTCAGTGAATAAATACCACTGCCGTTTTTGAACGGTGAGAGCCTTTGCATTTATTCTCTATATTCTCATTCTTTAGATGAGTTTCATTGCCAAACCAATATTTTAGGTTCTTTTATAAGAACTGCCTTTTTTGGCCATGGGATTGCAGTAGTCTTGAGTACTAACTTGGGAGGCTCTTGGATGGTAAGTTGACAAATTTAAGATCTGTGCTTTTCCATCCAATTAAAATGCCTCTTTCTTAAGTTCTGTACTACACTGGAAAGTAAAATGGATGTCTGTAAGGTAAATTTAGGTGCTAGAACCAATGCAAATACAGAGTTGAATGAGGTTTTAAAAAAAACTATTTAAAATTTATTTATTTGTATATTTTTTAATTTAAAAATTGTAGCACTTGGCTGAGAGTCGGGGAAATGTGAATCAGTCCTAGCTGTGTTCTTAACCAGCTGCATAACCTTGGATAGGCCTCCTTGTCTGTCTGGACCTCAGTTTCCTTATCTGTAAATTGAGGAGGTTATATGAGAATCTGAATGGTCCCTTCCAAATTAAAAATTGTAATTTGTGACTGTCATAGGACACTTGTGTTATCTAATTAAGTATGCTTGGGATTGTGTACAGTGATCAAGCAACTAAGAAAGCATTCCAAGTATATATATATTTCATAGTTTTCCTTTGAGTATACACTTTTTTAAAAAGTAAATTAAATGCATTTGAATGTAATTAAAGTAGTAGCATAAACCAAAGTAGCCTCAGGCAAACCTTAACGCTGGCATACATAAGCTATATAAATAAGCAAGTTATGGTGAGCAGTTTTCAAGTACAGAAGGTGCAAAATCCTCTTAAAGGCCATAGGGGCTAAATTGTTAAATTCATTTTTCTACATTTCAGGGAAAGAGATAAACCCTTAGACCCAAGGAAGTCAGTTTTTATTATGTTTCTGTAGTTTATTTTTGGCATATATTCACAGGTGTGCCTATGGCTCTATTCTTAATTCCTTTTCTTTGGGATGGCTCCAAGAGTAGTACAAATTTGTAACTCTGTAATTTAGCTCTTTAATTTTTTCTGTGCTGAACCGGAATTATGTTTTATCTTAAGTCCACACTGGATCCTGAGGATGGATCCAGTGAGGATTTTGAAGGAAACATAATTCCTCTGACTTCTTTTAGAATTAATTTACCTATTAAATAAAAAGGAAAGGATTCATCTTTTATTTGGATTCCTCTGAGGCTAACATTTCAGTATAAACTGATAAATGCTATGAGCATTATTATTCAGACAGCCACATTCAACTTGTATGGCAGTAACAGTGTAGCAGCCTGAAGAGCATAGTGTAATAAGGGAACAGGTATATTGTATCTTTTAGAAGAAAAAAGGCATTAAAGGTTGATTTATTTATTTCTGGAAGAGAAACAAAACCTCTAGGATGAGTGTAGTGTATTTTTGGCTCTTGTTCATTTGATTTTTGGGGTCAGCTGGTCATATCACCAAAACTGCTGTCAGAACACCCTGACATTATGGGCAAAGAATTTGAAACTAAGAAAACCACCGTTCTTTCTTAATTATCTGTACTGTATAGCTAAAGGAGCCCTGGTGGCACAGTGGTTAAGAGCTCGACTGCTAACCAGAAGGTTGGCAGTTTGAATCCGTCAGTCGCTCCTTGGAAACCCTATGGGGCAGTTCTGCTCTGTCTGGTAGGTTCGCTATGAGTCGAAATTGACTTGATGGCAATGGGTTTGGGTTCTTATAACTAAAAGTGGAGCAGAAAGAATAAATTGGCATTGTTATTGTTCTCTGGGCTGCCCCTGATTTTTGAACAAACAGGAGTTATTTTTCCAGAGCTCTCATTTTGATCAATATTCTATTAGTACCTATTTGAAACATCTACCCTGTAGATTTTTGGTTGATAATATGAGAATTTAAGACTTTTGAATAGTTGAAGACAACTCTGAAATTCATCCTATCATACTTTCCGTATTTTATGCACATACTAGATTTATCAGGGCTGAAGAACAAATGCCTGATGATGATATTGATTTATTCACTCATTCAGTCAACAAACATTTTTAGAGAGCCCCCTCAGTGCCATACTGTGCTTGGTTTTGGGGATCCATCTTTTAATGTAAGTGCTAGTAGTTCCTGCCTTCCTGGTGTTTGTGATCTGCTTTTGGGAGATTTACATTGAGTAATTAGAAATAGGATGAATGTTTTGAAATGTAAAGTGCTGTGGAAGCCTATAAGAGCGTGTGAGCCTATAAGAGCATGCTTAATTTAGTCTGGTCGGTCAAGGAAAGCTTCCACTAGAGAGTGATGTTTAATTAAGCTGAGCAGGATTGAATATGCTCACAGTAGGAAAGTATTTCTGTTCATGCTTTTATTCTCAAAGCTGTCAAGTTTTGCCCCAAATTTAGGTACTTAATAAGTTTATTTCATACATGTCTTTATAGCTAGCACTTACTTAAGCCAGGTTTATCAAATATTTTTATGGATTCCTTTGGTCAAGGATCGAAAGACCATAAGATTATTTTTTAGTTGAGGTAAAAATCTACACCGAAACAGTAAATTTGATAATTTTTTCCTGCTGTGGATTTTAGTTAATAGTTGAAATAGTATTCCTCTGTGAGAATGTATACGGGAAAGGATGAAGGATGGATGGAATAGTGAGAGCTACTTAAAATTTTAAGTCATTGAGAAAAATGATGGCCTTACACAGAAGTTGTCTCTAAGGGTGACAACGTTATGTAGTAAACAGACACGATCTGAGCTTTTTAAATACATTTGCATGACTTTGTTTTTTACAGCATCAAGGTTACTGACTTTCCATGATGTTTGGTGGTTACGAGACTATAGAAGCATATGAAGATGACCTTTATCGTGAAGAATCATCTAGTGAAAGTGTTGATAGCGAGGTGGAATTTCAACTCTACAGCCAAGTTCATTATGCCCAAGATCTTGGTAATGCTGGAGAGGAAGAACATGAAGAAAAGGACTCTGGGAGTTCTGAATCACCGAGTAGTAAAGCAAATCAGAAGAACCTAATTATCCTTTCAGATAGTGAGGTCATCCAGCTATCAGATGGGTCAGAGGTCATCACTTTGTCTGATGAAGATAGTATTTATAGATGTAAAAGAAAGAATATTAGAGTTCAACCACAAGAAAAGACCCAGTGTCCTCCTGCATTTATTCATTCTAATGAGTTGGCTGATAAGAAATGTAAGAGGGGTATTGAGAAGCCCAAACCTGAAGAGAGATCAGATATGATCCGAGAGGTCATGATTATAGAGGTCAGTTCAAGTGAAGAGGAGGACAGCACCATTTCAGAAAGCGATAATGTGGAAAGCTGGATGCTACTGGGATGTGAAGTAGATGATGATAAAGACGATGATATCCTTCTCAACCTTGTGGGATGTGAAAATACTGTTAATGAAGGTTAGTATCATGTTGGCCATTTTGAAAAGTAGTATCACCTTTAATAAAGAAGACTGCTTTTTCTAGACAAAAGACCAGTAGGGTTTGCTCCATGTAATTCCTCACCTTTTAGACCACTCTAGTGATGGTCTTTCTGAACATCAGAAAGAGTATGTCAGAATCCTAAAGACTTTCTGCTTCTGCTGTGAGCAAATTCATAGCTGCTTCCTGTTTGGCTAGAGCCAGTTCTGGACCTGAAATCTTAATTCCCCTCTCTCTCTGCTTGATACCACAGGTGAGTACTCTATTCATCTCCGACACTGGCCCTGTATTCTCATTCTGCTAACTCTACTGAGATTACCTCTTTCCAAAGGATTTGCTTACCCAAGAGCTGGCCAGTTAGCAAGCATGGGGAATACCTTGTACACAGAGGACATGAAATTAGAATTAGGATTTTAGGAACTCCACAGTCAGTAAGGCCGGGAACTCTGAAGAGCTGTAAGTCTACAGTAGACTGTAAGAGAGAATGCAAATTCTGAGAACCATATCGTCCAGATTGAACCTCGCTGTTAGCTTTGTCTCCTCTATCACATTGTCACCTAGTCTTGATGCTTATTCCTTTAAAAAAGCACTGCCTTTCATTTTCCTCCTGTTATACCTAATGCCTAGACACTTGGAATAGATTTCCTAAATGTTCTTTTTTCCTTAATATCTGTCCTGCACACTGTTGTTAAACCAGAAGTCTTGAAATGCCCTTTTAATTATGGTACTTTACTGCTGCTCCAAAACCTCTGATGGCATCCTGCTGTCCTTGGAAGAAATTATGGCATTGACTCTAGACCATACTTTAGAGCCCCAGGGATTGGCAAATTATTTTTTTTTAAGGAGCTAGATAGTAAATATTTTAGGCTTACAGGCCGTGGGATCTCTAATTGCTTAGCTCTGCCCTTGTAGTGCAAAAGTAGTCATAGATAATACCTAAAGAAATGGGGATGGCTTTTCCAGTAAAACTTTATTTACAAAAATAGGTGGCTGGCCCAGGCTGTAGTTTGCCAACACTGAGAATTTGATAGCTAAAGGAAGAAAAGAAATAGAATAGTAGCTAGAACATAGAGCAGAATCAAGTAAAGTTTTGTCAGAATAAGGAAATCTGCTAATATTTTTAGGTAGAAGGGAGAAATTTCTGAAAAAGGAGAGATTAAACTTGTTTGATGGGTAGGGGAGCCAGGAAAGAGATAGGATCAGTTGTATACATTGATGAATTAGTCTTAAAAAGGAAGAGACACATGATTAATTGTTAAATCATCTAACATTTATAGCGGTAGGAAAAAAAGAGTAAATTCAAATAGATTGAGGTAGAGAGACAAGTGGATGAGGGAATTTATGAAGATGCATTTCATTTCCTTGGGAAAATGAAAGCAGTAGTGGCAGTGGAAGTGGGCAGTGGTTAACTGGAAGCTTGGAGTGTGGAAAGGATGTTTAAGTGCTATAAGGATTACTCTTCCCAATATTTTGAAGATGACCACCTCTTTGACTTTAAAACAATTTTGTGGACCCCTGCCCCATGACTGTAATTATATTTTTAGTACAGGTAGTCCCCAGCTTAGGTTGTATTTGAGTTACAGAACCGCACTTATGACTGCCCCTCCCCCCCCTTTTTTGTTCATCTTATCTTTAGTAATATGTATCACACAGGGCTTCAGACTGGTTCGAAACAGTTCAGTAATGGCCGATGGAAACAAGAGCAGCGTGAGTGTTGCATAGCAACCAAAGCTCTTGCTTGTGGAATTTTGTCTTGAGTCGGAAATAGCACTGCCAGGCTCAAAGACGGCAGCTGAGAGTGCCGCTTTGAATGTGTTTCTCTCTGCATAGTCCTGCTAATAATCCAGTCTCCCGCATCAGGCTCCTGAAAGTTTCCTGATGCGGGAGATTGGATTATTGGCTCTTGAAAGTTTCCTGATTTCAGGTGGTTGGGTTATTGGCAGGACTGTAGAGAGCGACATACATTCAAAGCGGTGTGGTTGGCTACCATCTTTGAGCGGGGCAGCGCTGTTTCCTACTCAGGACAAAATCCCATGGGCAGAGGCTTTGGTTGCTGTGCAGTGCGTACGCTGCCCTGTTTCTGTGGGCCATGACTGAACCAGTTCAAACTGGTTTGAAGCCCTGGTATTATATACAATCTTTAGGTGTGTAATTTGCGATGTTTCCATGTTTGTGCCAACCCCCAAAGACAAATAAAGATTGGATTTATAAAGATACTGATAATAAAAGGCAATAATGAAAACTGAAGGAAAAAAAATGAGGTATTCAACTTATGTCAGAAATGACCTAACAATGGAGTCGTTGGAACGAAACCCTGTTGTAAATCAAGGAGTATCTGTATTTATTCATTGAGAAAATGCTTGTTAGCAAATAGTTATTATTCAGTACTCTCTTAATGACTTTGTGTTTTATTAAGCACAACATTGTGTGCATATTTGAAAAATATAAATACATATACTGGGGAATAGACTTTATATAATGCATACCTCTGGGGACCCATTGCAGTAACTAATTCTACAGCTCCCTAGGAAATCTGTAGCTTTTAAGTTGGAAACTGTTGTGTTAATGAATCAACACTAAGAGAATAAAAAGATTGCTCAGAAGTAGTATTCCATCAAAATTAAGAGATGGACTTGTAATGAACTTGTTCTAACGGGCTCCATAACTTTCTAGTAGGCTAGAGCAAGATGAAAGAAACCACATGATCCAGGATTAGGCTTAACATTGTAGAAAGGTCAAAACAAGCACTTAGTCTACTCTTTTTTCTCTAAATTGCCTCTAATTGCCTGAGATCACACCCAGTTTCATCGGTCACTTCATTGTTTATGATGATCAAATTGGCATCTCCTTTTCTTTGCGTCTTTCTTGTGTGCCAGTTCCCCGTGTCCACCTTACTGAATATTTCTATTTGGTATCTGACTGTCTTTTCAGGTTTAACATACTAAAAAGAAAGCTTGGTAAATTGAAAAGCAAGTTTGTTATCTTTCCTTTGAAACCAGCTTTCTGTCTCCTGTTTCTACCTTTCCACTAAAGAATTTGCAGAGATGATGATGTTGATGGCAGGATGTAGGTAGGTTGAGAAAAACATGAACTAGGTGCTGAATTCATTGAGGAACTTGGAACTGTGTCATGTTTATGGTAAATGATGTTGGTGAGAAAATGGAGAGGATGTGGACTTGAAGTAGAGGGATGATAGATGATGGACATCGTGTGACACTGGAGTGGGAGTGGTGGTGCAAGGGAGGGATGGGGGGACTATTCTTTCTATTGACAATAGAGGAACCAATTGGAGATGATAAGGTTTCCATGGGAGAGGCTTACTGGTAAAAAAGGCAGGTTTCAGTTAAAAAAGGAGGCAGTCTTTTTTTTTTTTTTAATTGTTGTACTTTAAGTGAAAGTTTACAAATCCAGTTAGTTTCTCAGACAAAAATTTATACATTCATTGTTTTTGTGACCCTAGTTGCTCTCCCTATACTGTGACAGCACACTCTTCCTTTCCACCCCAGATTTCCTGTGTCCACTTAACCAACTCCTGACCCTCTCTGCCTTCTCATCTTGCCTCTGGAAAGGAGCTGCCCATTTAGTCTCATGTATCTGCTTGAGCTAAGAAGCACACTCTTCATGAGTATCATTTTATGTCCCATAGTCCAGTCTAAATTTTGTCTGAAGAGTTGGCCTCGGGAATGGTTTTGGTTTTGGTCTAACATAGAGTGCAGGGGCCATGTCTTTCGGGGTCCCTTCAGTCTCAATTAAACCATTAAGTCTGTTCTTTTTACGTGAATTTGAGTTCTGCAACCCCTCTTCTTTTCTGCTGCTTAAGGGACTCTCTGTTGTGTTCCCTGTCAGGGTGGTCATTGTGGTAGCCGGGCACCATCTAGTTCTTCCGGTCTCAGGCTAATGAAGTCTCTGGTTTACGTGGGCCTTTCTGTCTCTTGGGCTAATACTTTCCTTGTATCCATGGTGTTCTTCATTCTTCTTTACTCCAGGTGGGTTGGGACCAATTGATGCATCTTAGATGGCCGCTCGCTAGCTTTTAAGACCCCAGATGCCACTCACCAAAGTGGGATTCCGAACATTTTCTTAAAATTTTTTTTTTATGCCAGTTGACCTAGATGTCCCCTGAAACCATGGTCCCCAGACCCCCACCCCTGCTACTCTGTCCCTCGAAGTATTTGGTTGTATTCAGGAAACTTCTTAGCTTTGGTTTAGACCAGTAGTGCTGACTTCCCCTGTAGTGTGTGCTGTCCTTCCCTTCACCTAAGATAATTCTTGTCTACTTTCTAGTTAATGAATACCCCTCTCCCTTCCTCCCCACCCTTGTAACCATCAAAGAATGTTTTCTTCTGTGTTTAAACCTTTCTTGGGTTCTTATAATAGTGGTCTTATACAATATTTGTCCTTTTGCGACTAAATTCACTCAGCATAATACCTTCCAGACTCCTCCATGTTATAAGACGTTTCACGCATTCATCGTTGTTGTTTATCATTGCATAGTATTCCGTTATGTGGATATACCATAATTTGTTTATCCATTCATCCATTAATGGGCATCTAGGTTGTTTCCATTTTTTTGCTATCGTGAAGAGTGCTGCAGTGAACATGGGTGTGCATATATCTATTCGTGTGATTGCTCTTATTTCTCTAGGATATATTCCAAGGAGCGGGGTTACTGGATCATATGGTACTTCTATTTCTAGCTTTTTAAGGAAGCGCCAAATCGATTTCCAAAGTGGTTGTACCATTTTACATTCCCACCAACAGTGTATAAGTGTTCCAGTCTCTCCACAACCTCTCCAGC